TAAGTAAATAAAGTTTGTGACAAAGACTTTGATTCAGCACCATTCACATCAATATCAAAGCTTTAAAGCAAAGTGTAACAATTCTGCACATGATAAATAAATAAAACTTGTGATAGGGCTTTAAACCAACACCATGCCAATAAATATGTCAAAACAGAAAATACAATGATTAAGTCTTTATCTTTTGCTTTTTTCTTTTTCTTGGTCTGCCACTTCTTTTGTTTCATTCTTTTATTATTATTATTATTATTATTATTATTATTATTATTATTATTTCATTTCACAACTCTAAGTCCTTTTAGTTACTCATGAAGTAATAGTAACAATAAGTTCCAATTGTTGTTCCTCCTCCAATGAATTTCGAAAAAGTCGAAACGGTTCCCATAAGTTGTGGAGTCAAGAGTGTTTGTAACTTATGAGAAGATCAAACCGTTATATTTAGTTCAAATTTTAGTATGATATGAATAAGAGGATACCGAACAACTTTCGTGAAGAAACATTTTCGATTTGATCTACTGAAATGGAGTTTTGGTACTCATAAGGTGCTTGTCCAATTTTCTGTGGAAATTGAAAACTGATTTGTTATTTCAAGCATCTGCGATGATCGCACCGTTGGAATGTTTTGAAAATTTGATATGTTGTAAGTACTGGGTGGATGAACAACTTTGAAGAAGAAAGTATTTCAATTCGAGGTTTGCAAGTTGGAGTTCTGAGGCTGTTTACATGGCTGTCAAATTCTTTACGAATTTCTCTCTTCTTCCTCTCTTCTTCCTTCTTTCTTTTCTCTCTTTTCAGCCATAAGGCTTTGTGCTTTTGTGTGTGATTTTATATGGAAGGATGAGGCATCAAGTGAATTAGTGGACAAATATGTAGAGTTGTAGTGGGTTAACCATCCACACATTGAATGGCTTATAAGATTACAACACTTATATATATATATATGTATATATCATGCCACTTTTTTCGTTTGTTTTTGCTCACCATTATGTGTCTATGGTTAGTTTATTCATTTCATAAAATAAAATTTTCAAGAAAATAAATAATTAAATGGAAATAATTGTTCTTGGAAATTTAAAAATGTAGTTATTCACTCTAAATTTTTTATATTTAAATATTGCGCAATTAAATTTGGCCAAATTGTTTTGAAAATTTTCATTAAAAGCGTTTGAGTTAAGTTTATTTTAACAAAAAAAATCATCTAATAACTTTATTTAATATAAAAAGCATGAAATTTAATAAAAATGACGAAATACAATATAATAAGAACAAAAACTAAAGTCTTATAAATAGAAAACAAACCCATGTGCAAAACCAAAATTTCATTTTTCAGCCAATGCCTGACGCATCGGCTATCCAGAAGAGAGCCCTTCTCTATAGGGGCTAATGCTTTACTAATATAATATCAAGCAAGGGCTCGTCTTCTGTTCTACGAATCTAACTAATCTATACTACTACTAACTATAGTCAGACTGGGTCTTCTAGAGGAAACTAACATGGTATGGTTTATATATTTTGTGCGAAGTGTCCCTTATAAAGTTGCAAGTGTCCCTTAAAATATAAAAATCCCAACACGAGAATTAAACAAACAGAATAACACACAACATTAATCAAGTAGAATAATGCAGACTTGAACTTAATCAAGTTGCAGAACATTAATTGTGGAGAGAAGAAGAATCACTAACTAAATACTGCTGGCCACAATCCATGTGACATCCCACATTGTCCAGGGGAGTGATCCTTAAATGTATATTTCCATCTCTACCTAGCACGAGGCCTTTTGGGAGCTCACTGGCTTTGGGTTCCGTAGGAACTCTGAAGTTAAGCGAGAAGGAGGCTAGAGCAATCTCATGATGAGTGATCCACTGGGAAGTTGCTCGTGAGTTCCCAAAACAAAACCGCGAGGGAATGGTAAGCCCAAAGCGGACAATATCGTGCTACGGTGGTGGAGCCGGTCCGGAAGTGATCCGCCCCGGGCCGGAATGTGACAATTTGGTATCAGAGCCTAACCCTAGTCGTGGTGTGCCGACGAAGACGTCGGGCCCCTAAGGGGGTGGATTGTGACATCCCACATTACCCAGGGGAGTGATCCTTAAATGTATATTCTCATCTTTACCTAACACGAGGCCTTTTGGGAGCTCACTGGCTTCGGATTTCGTAGGAATTCCGAAGTTAAGCGAGAAGGAGGCTAGAGCAATCCCATGATGGGTGACCTACTGGGAAGTTGCTCGTGAGTTCCCAAAAACAAAACTGTGAGGGAATGGTAAGCTCAAAGCGGACAATATCGTGCTACGGTGGTGGAGCCGGCCCGGGAAGTGATCCGCCCTGGGCCGGGATGTGACAATCCAGGTTTTTTTTTGGCTGCCGGCTTGTCCCCTGAGGATGTACATCTAGGAATGGTGGCCACGTTCAAGTCAACTATTGGTGTAATATCCACTGCTACAAAAGCCACGGAGTTGAAGCAGTACAAGCAAGAACGCAAACACCAGCGAGGTTTGAGGAATGGCAGAAGCAACAATGTGAGAGAAAAGTGTGACGACTACATTAAGCAGAAGAGAAAGCAGGAGAAGCGGAGAGAGAATGAGGAGCAGCGGAGGAAGATGACGAAAAGGAGAAGTGGCAAGTTTTTACACACGAGAAAGAGAGGTGTTTAAGGGGCAAGGGCAACATCGACAAGGAGATAGAAAATCTTTACTTCTTTGAAGACCAGCATTTCGGGACGAGAATTCAAACCGAGTATGGAAACGAACTCATTGTGGCTGTTCATACTCAAGGTAGTTACGATTCTCAATTTCTAACCTCTGCACTAGTCCTTGGTGGAGAAAGAGTAATTACATCTTGTTGGAGTTTGAGACTCTCTTGTCCCACATTGGTCAATAGTATTTTTTCACAAGCCTTTATATAGGCTTATTCCTTTTCTTAGTAATTAGAACTTGGACTATTTGGAAATGGATTGAAGGCTTGGGCCTTATAGTTGTGTGAATTAGGCTTGAATATAATATAGCCTAAATATTAATTAAAAAACATTTTGATTAAAAGACACAGCTATTAGAAAGAGTTGTACTTTTTGATTAAAAGACACAGCTATTAGAAAGAGTTGTGTGCTTTCAAATACATTGAACAGGTATTTGAAAGGGTGTGAAATAGCCTATATATTTGCAATCACAATATCCAAGTTAGAATTATCTTTTCTTCCTCCTTATCTTCCGTACAAAATTTACAGAGAGTAAACACACAAAGCAATTCGCTAGAGTTCTATAATCCAGTGCGGGTTGTAGAATTAGATAGTTGTATCCTGGTCGAGCAGACGTTGTAGAACCACAAGCACAAGAGAGGGACGAAAATACTGTTCGAAGGACATAGCTTTTACGTTAGCCTCTACCTTCTGTGATCAAGTTAGTATCATTGATATTTTTATATTAGTTTATGTATTTATTGTATAATTTCATTATGCACATCAAGTATATTTGGTAAATAAAATATTAGAATTTCAAGTTCTGTTTATTTCTGTTATTTTTGTTTATTTTTGAATTGTTCTCCAACACATCTGTCATTCAAATTTCTAATTAGTGTATCATACTCCTTATTGAACTTCAAATTGGATTGGATCATCACCATTTCTCTTGTATGTAGTCTTAATAGTTTTCATGTAAGGTATAGTCACCTTCTTCTCTGAGTTTAAATTTTCCTATACCTTCTTCTTCCTGATGAAAAGGCTATCTCTAAGTCATTTAAGTCCAAAGGAGGTTTATATATTTTAGTAATTGTAAGGTTTTTCTTAACCTTTTTTTAAGAATAAGTAAAAGGTTTGATATGTGATACGGTTTACCTAATCTATCCGATTTCCTGTAGTTCAAACACATGCAATCAGATTGCATATAAAAAGAGTGGATTTTGAAATCGTTAAGGATTGTATCCTCCCAAGTGATTTCTGGTATCCTTACTAATTTGCTGCTATCGATAGATGAGTAGATGAACATGATTTTCAAACAATTTGGACTCGTCTAACCAACTTTAAGTAACGAAGTCTGAGTCAAGCGGAAAGTTTCATTCAAAAATCTGTATCTGCGGCTATTGAAGTCAATGACAGTGTATTGTCTCAGTTTATATGGGGCTTGGAACCTAATCGATCCTGAACTTCTATTGTTCAAGTGTTTGTGTTTTTTGTAACTTTAAAAATGGAACAAGCCAACAGTTACTTCCGTTAACAATCACAACCTAATTGATCCTGAACTTCTATTGTTTATTTGATTATCCACAGAGACAACATTTTATTCTTAGAAAAAGTTGCATGCTAATAAGAGGAAGATTGTTGATAGAGAGCCCCTAAGAGTCGCATGATAAGGTATCAATAGATTCTTCGGTTTCCTATGTGAAATTGCTGTGATTTTGTTTTGGAATATCTTGGAGCACTGTTGAGCACTAGGCCAGATTGTTGAAGGCTTATTGCATTATGCTTTTGCAGGTACAATGTTTATGAGCACACAGTAAATTTCATGGCTCCAAAGACCATGGCCGTTTCTCCTATGCTTCCTAAGCTCAATAATTTGTTCGGGTTGAATATGCAGAAACCAGCTTCCGTAGTGTGGTAGCAATGCAAGGCTGAATCAGCTGTATAGTCCTTAGATCTCAGGCTAAGAAATTGTTAGCTGTTAATTTATATGATATATTATTCTAATATTTGTTGTACTAATATTTATGTAATTTACGTAATTTTTCGGGAGCCGAGCATGATTTTGTTGTAAATGACAATTAATATCTGTAAATTTGACATTCAACAGCAAATAGATGTTTTTTGCTTTCCCCGGTGCCGAAATGTTTTCGCCCAATTCGAAAAATTGGTTCTTGCCCGGTATTGCCTATGTCAAAGTCCTTTCCTTGTATGTGTAGAATCAATTTTTTTTTCTTCCAGTTATTTACTGCTAGTATACATACAACCATCTGTTTATTTTCTCTGGTACGAGATTTTATGCAATCAGTGGCAGGTAAGAAAAATTCTTAAGTATCGATAATGTTGGATGTATTTTATGCTGTATTTATGCAATATTTGATGATGTTGAACACATTTGAACTTCGATATTTTGAAGGTAGAAAACATCTTGAAATCAAGGAGGGAATCCAAAGATATGTCTGTATCAAGTAAAATTACAAACTCATGGATGGCCTGTGGACTACTGTCGCTTCTTTTTCAGAGAGATGGAGGACCAAACTACAAGAGCAAGCGTGAAAAATAAGCCGGCAACTGTGAGGAGCAACTTCCAGCCTCTGAGGGTGCAGTTATTGCTGGCAGCCCTCATCCTTGCAATTGTGTAATCAGGTTCACCCTCTTGCCCTTCTTCTTTGCCTGAAAAACATACAAATAACATAAAATTTATGTTTTTGAATTGAATACAGATGGGCTTGGAAGTGTTTGGATGAAGTATAATCCATTGCAATAAAACATAGCATACCTGTGTCTTCTTCATCTGCGTCCGTGATGAGGCGATTAAACATTCTCCGCGTATGGGAACCTATTCTTTTTTCAGTATATTCTTTAGAGAAACCAAGGACGTATATTCCTGGTTTATGCTCCCACATCGACAAATCTCCACCGATGACAAATGGATAATGAGGATCTGATTTGGTGTTATGTTGAGTACTTATCATCATATTATTCTGGTGCTCTTGCACAAGCTCGACACCAAACTCCTTTACCCGAAACTGCTCAGAAAATTCGTCCGTTACCAAAACAACCACTTGATCTCCACATTGTAAAATTGTTTCACTCTCCATCGTCCAATGGCTTAACCATATCATATCTTCACCCTCTCCTGGAATTCCATAGAACAGTGGGGAATAGATCCACTTCAGACCCTTGCTCTTGTTACTCACTTTAGTCATTATTGGACGATTCAGATCGTGATTATTAGAATTCCCTTTGGTTTCATAGGTAGCAAAGATGTTCAAGCCTCGGATTCTGTGAGTAGCAGGGAGTAAAGGGACCATAAAAGATATAGAAAACTTGGTACTTTTATAGCTGAACTGGCCTGGAACCTCATTCCCAACAAAACATGTGCTAAATATACCAAATTGATACAGTCCCTGTACATTTTCCATGATCATCACAACATTACTAAGTCATTTATTTCCCATTATAAATATATATGACTTATGAGAGAGAGAGAAAGAGAGGGGTGCGCACCTGGACAGGACTTAATCTATCCGAGGAATGTACGAATGAAGAAGGGTTCATTCTAATGTCTGGCATGGATCCTATGTTGAACAAGCTCAAAAGTTTGATCATTTCCACATCAACTCTATCAATAGGCTCTAACTTGTACCAGTACTCCCACTCAACTAGATTGTAGTTGCACCCCACAGAGACACTGTCTACAAACTCGGATTGATATGTTATTTTTTTTAATGACATGCATCCCAATAAATCCATCGCTGGAAAATCCACTTTGTGTACTTTCGGCAACCCCACAAGCGAATCGAGCTTCTTACAACCCCGAAAAGAGAGATAATTGAGCTTCATCAAACCTTTGATGAAAACTGGCAGAGTACAAATTGGATTCTCATCTAAATATAGTCTTTGTATTGAGGATAGATTACTTAAATCCCCACGAAATGCATCATCAGAAAGACTGCACCTACTGAGATTCAATGTTACCAAAGAGCATGGAAAATAACTCAAGATACTTGAACTTGTTTCTGGCCATACATCACGTATTGGAATTCCATCGGTTTTAAGCACTTTCAGAGACTCCATCCTCTGCATCATCTCGAATGGAAACTCATCAAGATTTAAGCAACCAGATAAAATGAGTGTTTCAAGTGATTTAAGCATACACATGCTCTTCGGAAGCATCCTAAGATTCTTGCAATTCGTCATATTCAAGCACACAAGTCTCTCCAGGTTTCCAATGGATTCATGAACAACAATCAGGCTTGTGCAATCTACAAGAATCAATTCTTCTAGATTGGGGCATTGTGAGAAGTCCATGATTTCAGTGAGGCCATGAGAATGACTCACATCAAGGATCTTCAATGATGGAAGAAACTGTGGAAAATAAAAACAAACAAAGAAAAATTTATTTGTGTAGGAGTTAAACAATTAAAAGCTAAAGAAAAAGAAGGAAAAAGAAATTGATAAGCGTACTTTTGTTCCAACTCGTCTCAAGCTGCTATATTGCATTTCAAGAAGTACAACTTTCTCCAAAGAAAAATCAATAGGTATAGAATCCAAAGGAAATTGAAGCCAACATAACCATCTTAATCCTGTAGGAAAATCTGCATAGCATCCATCCAGTCGAACATGACTAAGATGCAGTAGTTGTAAATTGTGCATCCTTTCAAATGCATTGGTTTCCAAGACTGTCTCATTTGTGTTTATTGAATTGTTTACAGGGTGCATATGCATATCCAGGACAAGACCTTGGATTTTTTCTGTACCCTAAAAGATAAAAAGGAAACATTAATATGGATAATTTTCACAAGAAGAAATACATATATAGACATAAAAGACATGTTTCTTACAATCTTTTCCTTCAATACTTCAAAAGAATCCTTGTGGCACCATAGTCTACTGCGTTTTCCAGGCTCTTCTGATTCGTGGTTAACAATTTCTCTTCCCATGTCACGGATCAAGTCATGCATTTGCACGTTGTTGCATCCATCAATTGTCACCAAGCATCGATCAAGCAGATTTTGAATCCCAACGATTGTATAGAAATCACATCCATTGAGTATTCTAACAATGTGGCTTTTGCTCCTTCCTATTAGAAAACAAGCAATGTGGAGGAATAATTTCCGGTCGTGGTCATCTTGTAAACTATCATAGCTTATTCTTAGTTTATTCATGATTTCACCATTAGGGATAGCTTTTAGCTTCTCCAATGAACTTTCCCATACATCTATACTTTCCCTTGATAAAGAAGAGCCCAAAACTTTTAGAGCTAATGGAAGTCCGTTGCAGTACTGTACAACCTTTTTTGAATATTCCATGTAACCTCTAAGGGGATGGTCTTGGCAAAAAGCATGCCAACTGAAAAGCTCTAATGACTCATTGTAATACAAAGTTCCAACTTTGTGCACCTTTGTAACTTGATGTGCTTTTAGCAACCTTTCACGCCTAGTTGTTATAAGTATCTTACTTCCGGATAAAACTGATCTTTCATCTTTAGTACTGCATCTAATTGGTCCATATGGTCCACATCATCAAGAACAAGAAGCACTCTTCTAGAGCTTATGGCTCTTTCAATCTTTATTAGTCCATCACTAACACCATGTATTTTCACTTCTCTGCCGTTCAAAATATCAGAAAGAAGTTGCTTTTGTATTTGAACTAAGCCATTTGGTCGATCTGCTGTTTCTCTGATATTTTCAATGAAACTACTTCCTTCAAAGCTTCTAAAGTTTGAATTGTAAACATGTTTTGCAATGGTTGTCTTCCCTATTCCAGACATGCCATACACAACTAGTATACCGACATTGGTTGATCCATCTTGTAACCACAAATTGATGTCTTCAACTTGAGATTCGATTCCAATCAATTTTGGTTCAACACTCAATGGTGTGCGACTTAACTTGTCTCCAACCACTTTAACAATTTTTTCGATAAACTTTGATTCATACCTAACAATTTACAAACAAAATGAAAAATAAATCAAACATGTTATGTCTCACAGAAGTATTGGATGAATGAATAATGAATTGGGGAATTTAGATAATTAATAAATCAAATAAATGTTGATGGCCTTTACTTGAAAAAGAATAAAAGGAATACAGCACAGAAAGTACATACCAACTTTATTCCCACACCTGCTTTTGAAAAATATTTAAGCAACTGCAAACCAGTAGACTAACATGGAAAATGATTAATCCTTAAGTTGAGTCAAGTGTGATTTCTTTCAGTTGACCTAAATTAGGATTATTATTTACTGAGGTTGATTAAAAAAAATATAAAAATCAAGGTCCCTACGGATCATATTATCAAATTAACTGAAGAATGAGGAGAAATGGAGAAAATGAAAGTTACCCATCAGCTTGTAAGACCATGCCTGCTAGATCTGCAACCTCTGCAACTGCCTCCCTCCATCCCTTCACCTTTTTTGGCGACTGAGTTTTCTGGTGTCGAGCAAATGCTTTTCCAATACTTCCCGTCTGCTTCCTCATGTCGGACGGATCGACATCGTAGAAGACTGGTATAACTACATGGTCCGAGGTAGTCCTCTTGCGTTCAAGGATCAACACAAGCTCATCAAGGCACCATCTGGATGACGCGTAATCTTTCGAAAACACGACAACAGAAGTTCGTGACAGCCAGATCGCTTTCTGCAGTCCTGGCTTTATATCTTCTCCTCTCACAAGTTCATCATCGTCTCGGAACGTGTTAAATCCTGCGTTGTTCAAGGCTGTGTAGAGGTGGTCGGTAAAAGTCTTGCGAGTGTCGCCTCTGAAGCTCAAGAACACGTCGTGGCGATAACCCCGAAAAGTTTTGGAATCAGAAGAGGTTCCTTTAGATGTTCTCACAAGAGCCATTGATGTGGATCGATGGACAAACAGCTCGTTGCTAGCTGCATTGCTAATGTCTGTGTGCAGGGTAAATATATAATTAGGTCATTCCTATCTTCTTCTTTTGGTCAATATATATTTCCAGGAAAATTTACAGACAATTATAAAATGGGTCTTTCACATGCATTCACCCAAAAAGCGTTTCTTTCTTTTTAATTCATGGTCGGCCACTCGTGGCAGAGATGAAAGGAAAAAGGAAAGAGCACTTCTTGTTTTATATGTGATTTTATAAATTACAATTTATATTGATCGTTGCTCACTTTTTCGTGATAAAATGCACTTCTAATTGCACTCGGATTTTTTGTGATAAAATACAGCATGTTTTGGTCGGTGCTTCATACTCATTTCTCGCCTTTGAAATGTTGAAGTCATTTCTACCAATCATCAATCCACCAACTAATATTACCAATTATCCTAAAGATGATGTGATTATGAGACTAAAATTAAAATAGAATCGCATAATAATGTGGCAGTAATATTTAGTTACTTTTATAAGGTAAGTTTGGAATAACCTGAATCTGGGTACATGTATGGTTGAACTTTAGGTGGTTGATCCAATTGTTGTGCAGTTATATGCTTTTGGTATAGTTATAGGCTAGACCAAAAGAGAACACTTGCGGCAGTGGTTGGTCCATAATTCAAATCTTAGGGTCTCAATATTAGGTCCAAGTTTTTAGATAGAAATAGAGAGCGAAGCATGAAAAAAATTTGCGCACAAGTAGATTTTGTAAACATTTTTCTTCTGTTACTGTTTGAGCTACATGTTAAGGATCTTTTTGGAACATATGTTGCCCATATATACGAAATATATAAAGTGGCGAGAAATGTATACAAGACATAATATTTACGAGATTCGACAAGTTGTGCCAACGTTCTCGGAGTAGCAATAATGGTTTCTCATTACATGAAATATAATTTACAATGTAAGAAACAAGGGAAATTGGGAGCAATTTGCTCTTTGGCGTATTTGTAAGACTAAACTTATCAAAAATATAGTTAAGAGACTAAGCTCATGAACCACAAATTTATACAAGTATTAAAATCACAATTCGATAAACACAATGACAAACTAACCCGTAAAAATGGTAGAAGAAGAAGCCAAAGCCAACTTCGAAACAGTGCATCTTCTCCTCTCTTGCAAAACCAAAAGTACTCAAACTAACAATAGGTTTTAGTTCAATATTGAGCTAATGTTTTGTGAGAGCAGTGACTTATGTTTTTATACTCAACATAGATTGCCCTATTACAATCCTACAAGAATACAAAACTGCATTCCTTATATTAGTATGAGTCCTATAAACGAGCAAACATAAGAGTCCTCAATATACCAATATGTTTGGATTAACTCTTGTCAACATGATTTAGACTTCTTTATAATATCAATTATCCCAAAACTTGTAAGAATCATACTCATACTCTTACAGTATTTGTATATTTTCTGGATGTTTGTCCATGTGTTTTTTTTTTCCTTCTTTTTCGGTCTCTCACTCCCATTTGTAAGAAAATGGGTAACAGTTAGTAGACATAATGATGGAGGTGACTTTCCTTTTCTTTTCTTTTTCCCTCTTTTCCTTTACTCTTTGAAGCTTTCCTCTCCTTTTACTTTCTTTTCCTCTTTTCCCTTCTCCTTTTTCTCTATTCTCCGAAATTTCCTCTGTTATTTTCCCTTCTTCTTTTCTCTATTCTCCGGAATTTTCTCTCATTCCCACCCCTTCCTTTTCTACATTTCCCTTCTCCTTTTCCACATTTCCCTTCTCCTTTCCTTCTCTCTACTCTCATGAGTTTTCTTCTCATTTTTCCCTCTCCTTTGACGTCGTTGTATTAGGGCTAAGATATGGACATGTTATGTTCTGGAGAGGTGAAAGTTATGGTCCCAGATCTATTTTTCAAAGAATTAGCTTTTGATCTATTAGACCAACTCCAGCCCTAGGACCTAAACTCAAATATTGGGTTTAAACGCAAAAAGTTGCCACCTAAAACTAAGACTCATACCTAAAAATTTTGGGTTTGGACCCAAATCAAAATCAAAATTTGGGTTCAAATTTGGCTGATCTAAGAGTTAGTAGCCGACATCTAGTCCCCACATGTCAGGGAACTCAGTTGTCCAACAATAAATGTGGCCTTTCGATTTCTAGACCATTGGTTAGCAATGGTCCAGATCAAACTCCCTTTTTTGGGCAATCCTTTGAAATTGATCAAACAATCCATATTTGTTTTTGTCAAATCCAATGGTAAAAATGATCCGACGCTGAAATTTAAATTCAACAGTCAAAATAATATGCATATTCGGTATTGTGTATTGAAGTTTGGTTGGTTGATGTGTACATTGAAGTTTGGTCGGTTAGTGGTTGGTTGGTGTAGTTTGTTCCGTTTTGGAAATTTTGTCGGAATTTAAATTTTTTTGGGTTAAAACATTTGTAAAACTAAATTAAGATAACATAACTCAAAGTTTCTCTAAAACAATTAATACATTTTAAGTTCTGAAACTTAGGTCTGAAGGGTTGGGTGACGTTCACTGTCTACAGAGCTGAATTATGTCTTCTAGTTGACCCAAATATTTGAATTTGGATTCAAGGATTGGAGTTGGTCATAAAACTTATCTTTTCAGTTTTGGCAGAAATCTTTAATTTTAATTTCACATGTTTGTTAATATTAAAAGAATAAAATACTATTTCAAACTGGGTCAAATACTAGGAGAAGGCATGCAAAAATGTACGGGGGTTGATATAGGAGACTACATAATGTGAAGATATAGGGGGTTGAATATATCAGTAAAAAAAAAAAAAAAAAAAAGAAAAGAAAAGGAAACTTATACTCTCAAATTTGTATTGACGTGGAGATGGTCAGTAAATTGGGTCAAAAAATTTCAATTTCACTTGTTTGCTTTCCAATTTTACTTGTTTGCTAAATGGAATTATATTAAAGTATTACAATAGGAAAGCCTCATTCATTCTTGTCTTAAGAATCAATTTGCAGAAGGACGATTTTGGTCCTAATTCTTATTTATAGTGTAAGGAGTTATAGACAAAGATGCATAAGGTTCGAACAACTTTTTTTCTTTTCCATTTTCTCTTTTCTTTTAATATCTTTTACATAAAGAAAAGCTATTAAAAATGATCTCTTTTTTTTTTTCCTCTATCCAAAAGCACTTAAATGAATTTTGTTTGATTACAAGGACAAAAGACGGTGACCGTATTGTAAATAAGTTAAAATTTAGGAGCAACGACAATATTACAATTAAGTTAAAATTAAAATGAACAATTGTTTCTTCATAAAACCGACAATTATTTTTTCAAAAAAAATTATTAAAAAATCATTAATGTGTTTTTCATTGAAAATTTTGTTGTGTGAAACAGTTTTCCATTAAAACTCCCTTACATAAAATCAAAGAGTACTTGATCAAAAGAAAAAAAAAAAAATCAAAGAGTATGCAAGGAAAAAGCTCTAGCAAGACAAATGCGTGCAGATGTGGTTGCATGTGCTCAAATCAAAACCAAAGTGCTGCTTAAATTCCAGGTCTGTTTATCCTGTATATAGAATACAATGATTCGTTGGGTGGTCATGCACGTGTTGTTGTGTTGGATTTCAAGAGTTTGGATGTTGGAAACAAGCTCGAACTTATGTTTGACTTGGCCACTTTACAAGAAAACCCCATTTGCTTTTGCAAACGCTATTTTCTGGTATCCACACCCCCACAATTTCTGAAAGTGTTTCCCTTGTAATTCTTATGTCTCTCGTACAAAGAATAAAACCCTAAAGTTCTATTTGTATGTATAGGCTTTAGTTACAAGAAAGGAATCCCATGAAAACCCTAAAACCTACTCTAAACAGACTTTGAAAACGCTGAACAACAAACAAGAAACACGCCAAGCCGATCGATCAGCTGGCCAAACTGATCGATCACCCATAATTAACAATTCCTCTTGCTGTGCTATTGCTACAAGTTGCTTGTTTTTGCTCTTACTAATTGCTCACTTGATTGATAGCCCGTTCTAAAAAATGTCTTCACACTTTAGATAGTGAGACAACTCACAACATTACGTTATCTAATTATTTGAATCTTTTCTAGAGACGAGTATTTCTAGATTGGTAATAGAGATAAAGTACACTCACTTATGAATTATGAGCCAAGCTTTATCGAACAAATTGAACTATCTCATTAAAGATAGGAGTTGTTCATAAGCTTTATGAGCTTAACATACCAAAGCTCCATAGGTACTCATATTTTTAACTAGTCTAGTACTTCTTTTGAGCTCAACCCTTTCACTGAAAAATTGAGCGTAAACGAATTACTTCGAGCATATTTACAATCCCTACGTATGGTGCTCATCTTATGAAAAATATATGGTTTTGTGTTGAATGCGAGAAAGACTAACATAAAACAAGCATGGTAGGTCAATTGCATTCCAAATCCACAAACAAAAGACATCAAGCCATAGTTGAGGGATTGGAGGAGATAGGGAGAGATTGGAGGGCAACTGTTATAAAATTGGCTTGGGATACATGCAATATGTCACCCTATTTTAGGTAAGTCTTTATTATTTATTTAAGAGGTGTGGAGTTTGAGCTAGCCGCACAATGAGCCAAACATCATAATTTAGTTTTGAATTAGCCATTTACATGAGTTGAACGTAAAATCTATCACTTATAAATGAAAGAAAAATATCACTAAATTGTAACAGTAAATAAGTTGCTCTTGTTTTTTTTTTTTTGAGCAAGTATTATCTAGCAATAATGTGGTTCAAATTTGCCTTTAGTGAGAATTGAACCTAAAACCTTTCATTTGCAAGTAAAAAAAAATACCAGTAGACCGTAATACTAAATGGCAATAAGTTGCTCTCGATGAATGTGAAACAAAGTGCTAGTCAAATGAGACGGGTCTGTCTCAATCAAATATTTGCCTAAATGGTGTGTGAAGCCCATTTAAGGCCCAAATGTTTTTTGGTCTTGAAACGGGTAATTCCAGCCCGGTAAATTGCATACCAATGCTTAAGCCCCCAAAACCCAAACCCTCTAGCTTCTTCTCAGACCCATCTACGCCTCTCACAACTCTCGCTATCTTTCTTCTCAGACCC